ATCTCTACTTAAACGAAAAACTGATTTTTTTGGTAATGATATTAAAGATGTTGTTTTTGATTCAATAATCAGCTTTTGCCCAGTAACTAATGAAATGAGTAATGCATTAGGTGACTGTCTTAATGCTGTTATTAGCGTCATTGACAGGCAGTACAAGCGTCAGTTCGAAATGAGTTCTAATGATCTTCTTAAAGACCAGACTAAGTCAGCTAGGCTTCACAACATTGATTCAGAAGAACTTATGGGTATGTTTAGCGCTGCAAAGCACAAAGCTCCTTATGCTACCCTTTGTTTTCTTTCTTCGAAACTTCGTGCTTGCAAGAATAAAACAACTGCTCTGCTTTGTAAAAAGCCAACTGATATTCAAAACAAGTTGATATTATGGGCTATCTCTAATGCCAGGAAAAATTGATTTACAAGTATGCAATGTCATAATGAACTGAAGTTAGAACTGCTAAAACGAATGGCAGATAAAATTCAGAAAAGGGAGGACAAAGACCGCAGAAAGGTAGAAAAAATATTAAAAAGTTGCATGCCCGATCAGGTAAAAGAAATATTTCCTGACCTAGAAAATAACGAGGCCTCAGATATTGAAGAAATTCTTATTGGAGCTGCTATTGCAAGAAGTATTTGCCACATGTGGTTTGATAATGCCAATAACACCCATGAGGTATATTACGGCAGAATTGTTAGCATTAAAAAGAAGAACAATGATATATATATAGTTTCTTATTGGAAACCAAATGAAAATGAAGATGATGACAGTGTTGAGTATGATATGAGCAAATATCAACTTTCTGCAGACATAATAAGCGGTGATATGGTGATAACATAACAGAATTGTGTAATAATAAGGTATATGTTATTTTAAGTATTAGTATGTCTTATAAACTTGCATTAACAGATATTATTTACAGATAGTAGGTGAATTTCTTTTTTTTTTTTAAGAATAATTTTTGCAATGCCTAATATATATGTAATTCCTTCCTTTTTTTGTAGTATTATGAAAAGATTTATAATTTTTTAATTTGTTTTTATATATACATATATTTATATAGAAGTTTAATTTTAGGTAGTCGGGTAGTTACCGACATCCAACAACCAGGGTTGACCTGGTTGCAACGTGCTATGGGAAACCAAAGCTCATTTACTTTTTGACAAAAGCAAATTGCTTGGCTTATGACATTTAATGTTTATCATTGATGTTTATCATTATCAATGATGGCAATGCATTTTTCTATCAAGTATAACAGAGTTTCGCTTGCGTGGATTGAGAGATGTTAGTGTTCCATTACAATAAATCCCTTTAAAATTGAAATTTTTATTTATTATTTATTTGCTTGCCATTACCAGAGAGTAATGACCAGATAACCTTTTCTTCATTATAATTTTTAATCAAATCTTTTATATTTCAGGTTAAACAGTATTGAAGGGTCGGCTATCGATTTTTTCGTTTGGTAATGGGAAGTTTGTTGTGTATCAGGAGTTAAGTGATTTTGAATTTTTTAACTTAATAAATCATTCTCATATTTAGTAATCTCTAATGGGTTTTTCAGTTATGGTGCTAAATATCTAATGCATTTTTATTTTTTATTGCAAGGTTTTAACAATAATGGCAATTTGCTACTGTGGATATTTATGTTAAAGACCTCAAGATTATATTTATTAATTCAGTAATTACAGTTAAATGTTAATTCATTATACATTAGTTAATTGTTAGCCTTAATTTTTATTTTTTTTTTAATTTTATATCTGATATATTTTTTCTTATTGCAAGGTTAAACAACGTGATGAAAACTACATGGTTGCTTCAGTGGATGCTGATCTTTTTCATATCAAGATTAAACCGGTTAGATCATATTTATTTAGAGGTTTATTATGTTTATTAATGCAGTAATAACAGTTATATATTATTTATTATCCGGGACATAGGGCATCCTTATTAAATAGGTATTGTGATATTAGTTTTGAGAAATTTTTACTTTATTTTAGATATCATTGGATATGTTTCCTTTGCGTACTAAAGAATCGACTCTTTCTATCTATGGATGTCACAGTTCTGTTTGCTTCAAAATCTAGGCTTTTTTCAAAGCCACAATTCTGTTAAAAACATTACTGAGCAAAAAAGAAATTTTTTTGTTAAAGAAGTGTGTTTTAAAATAGTTTTAGTTTTTGCGGTTTGTTGGAATTTATATATAATTAGATATATGGGGCTATGGAAGGGAAAAGGAAGGGGAGCAGTGGTGGACATCCCCCCACCCACCCCACCCATTTGTTTAGTTGGATATTTTTTTAGTAGGTTTTTAGTTAAACTATATGGTGTAATTGACACGGCTTTTAAAGTGGAGAGGGGGGCCAACTCCCTAATTTCAAAAAAAACAACCTATATTTCTAAAAAAAAGGTCCTCGAAGCAATTAGTGAGGGAGGAGGCATAGCCCCCTATGGTGTCGACGCCCATGAAAGAGGGAGGTGAGACCCCTTCCGTGAATGAATTTTTTGTTTATTTAGTTGGCAAAATATATCTTTATATCTATATATATCTTTCATTGAAAAAGATAAAAATAAGCATAAATAGAGAGCGAAAACCCTAAGGCTTTAAATGTCTTTAAAGTTTATCTATACGCTATAGAAAACCTAGCCTTGGTACATATTTAGTAACATATATATAACCTTTACCATTATTATGTATAAATGTATATATATATATATATATATATATATATATATATATATATATATATATATATATATATATATATATATATATGTATATATATATATATATATATATATATATATATATATATATATATATATATATATATATATATATATATATATATATATATATATATATATATATATATATATATATATTGTAAATATCGTTAAAATACACGATATTTTATTTAAAATTTTGTTATAAATTTTAATATTAGGTTTTTATCATTAAAAATATTTTTGTTATAAATTGTTAAAAAATTTTGTTATATTAAAAACATTTTTAAAAATGTTATTAACTCGTTTTGCACATTTCACTAAGCAAAATCATGCGCAAATTAACAATAACGTTCTACAACAAAGCTACCCTTAGCCGAACGCGAGTTTTTTACGATGGTTGCATTTTTCCTAAGCAATCCTTCATAAAAATAATGTTACTTAAATAAGCATAACTTTTTTTGTAATTGTTCGTTTTTCATAAAATTTTCACTATTTTAATATAAATTCAAAGCTCTTTCGAACCATATATAATACTTAAATGAATAAATGGTTTAAAATTTTTACACACGTACCTATATATATATATATATATATATATACATATATATATATATATATATATATATATATATATATATATATATATATATATATATATATATATATATATATATATATATATATATATATATATATATATATATATCATATATATATATATATATATATATATATATACATATATACAATGTGCATATATAATATATACATACACTATATATGTATATATACATACATAATATAAATATATATAATGGATGATGTTTTACAAAATAATGATTTATCAAGCTTTTTACCAATCCATGTGATTTAAAGAGTTTGAATATTTTTTATATTAAAAAAAGTTTATTAAATTTTTAATGATTTTTCTTGTAAAGTTGTATAAAAAAGAATTTGTCCATGCTCCTTTAGTCCATGATATTGGTTGACCAACATAAAAATTTAGCAAATTTTAGCAACTGTATAATGTATCATAACGTACAGTTTAAAGTTGTATTTTTCTGTTAGCTATTTTGCATAAAAAAAATTTTAATATATAAGTATTTTTTCTATTATATTTTCTACTATACTTTTCCAGTTGAAAAAGTATTGTAGGGCATGCAAAATGTTCATTCGAGCTGTTTTGATAGAAAATACAGAGAAATAAAGAGAGAAAATTCGATTGATAATTTTTTGTACTGGCCATCATTAAATGTAATAAATTGTTTCAATGAAATGCATAAACCGCATCTAAATAATACAGATTTACGCTGCTCAAAATTAAATGTCATGGAGATAATGTATTTTTTTTTTATATAAACTTTAAGTCATTACTTTTTTTCCTTGTTTTTTTTAACATGCTTTCATTCTGTATATGTTGTTTTCAGTGTTTAGATATATTCTTTATTATATATTCTTTATTATGTATTTAAAGCATTTTTAAATTGAATGAACATTCTTAGATCATGAGTTATGCAATAAATTTGAATTTACCTCTACTAGTGATACTCAGATAGAATCAGGTTCAGAAAACGGTAACTATTTTAAAAGATACTTTATTCAAGTATTATTAGTTATATTAATTTTTATAGGAGCCACTACCATGCTTATGCAAGAGAAAACATAATAACCAACAGAATAGTAACCAAATACCTACTCCTGTAACGCAAAAAAAGAAACAGAAAACAATTTTTATGCATACTCCACATACTGTAGCTCAAGGTATTAATTGTCTGTCTGCAAGTTGATTTAGGAAAAAAAGATTATGAACATTTTTTTCTATGCTTTAGTGATTTACACATTTCTTTGGTTGCTAAATTGATACATTTTATTTAATTTATGAATGTTTTATTTTATAAATTTTTTGTTCTTGTGTTTCAACGCTTTTAGAAATTAATTAATGTTTGGTTCTTTTGTCTTTCTGATATATCTTTATTGTTAGAAAGAGATGTTAGTAAAAACTCTTTCCAGTAATTAAAGTAATATCATGACAAATAGTTCTGAAATTCTATGGATGAACTTGCAGCAGTAATTTAATGATTATGATAACAGTTTAAATGATTCTTGGGTGAGATCAGAAGTGATGGGTTGTTTCAAACCATGACTTTTTGCAGTTTTTTTATTGTTTTTTGAAAAAGTATTTAATAATAACTTAGCCTAAGTTAATCTACTTGTAACTTTTAATAAATGTACTATAAAAATAATGTGGTGTAATTATTTTCTTAAACCTTTAGGTTAACAAACTTTCTAAAATTGGAGGTAAAACCATTAAGACAAATACAAATAAATGTGATGCAAAGGTTTGTTAAAAGTAGTTTTAAATAATAAATAAAAACTTTTTTAAATAAATAAAATCTTTTGAATTTTTTTATTATAGTTTGTTTTAAACTTGTGTTAAAAATATGTGTAGCATATATTTTTAAAAGTTTGACGAATTCTAATTAGACATAAAATAAATCTTTTTTTTTATGTCTGATTGTAATTTTTTTTGTAACTGTTCTCTCTTACTTTAGTATTTATTCAAAACACAATAAAAACTGTTATGGCTTAGTTAATGTATTGCTATGGCCAGACAATTCGCATGATCTTAACCCCATAGAAGATATTTGAGAAATAGTAAAGCAAAAGATTGGAAAAAAAAAATCTTACTAATAAGCAAGATCTTATGGAAGAGATTATCAAGATCTGGCATAATAACCTAGAGTTGACAAAAAAAATAATAAATTGCAAGCATGCCACAATGCAATGAAGAAGTTATTGCAAATAAAAGTGTTTTTGCAAAATATTTATACTTTATATATATTTTATATAATTTATCATAATAATCAATAAATATTCATGTTTAACTCTATTTATTTATTTTTATCAAGTACAACTTTATAAATAAAAGAAAAAACTTTAAATTGCATCATTATTTATATGTATATATATATATATATATATATATATATATATATATATATATATATATATGTATATATATATATATATATATATATATATATATATATATATATATATATATATATTTATATATATATATATATATATATATATATATATATATATATATATATATATATATATATATATATATATATATATATATATATAGATATATATATATATATATATATATATATATATATATATATATATATATATATATATATATATACATATATATATATATGTATATATATATATATATATATGTATATATATATATATATATACATATGCGTTTAGAAGGTGGTGTCCTTGGACCAAACTCTTCCCCTGTATCAATTCTTTTTCTTACTTGCATTACAGTTTGGTAAGAAACCTTTGCGGTTTGTGCAATTTTTCATTGAGATTAATTTGTATTTTGTAAAAGACATTTAAAACTTACTTTTATTATAAGTAGGAAGCCAATATATTCCTCTAGAAAGTTGATCATCAGATTGTCTTTCCAGAATAACTAACAAAGAATGACAAATCACCAGGGGCTAGACACCTCTATGCCCTCCTCAGGATAGCCCTGGGGAACATAGGTGAAAGAATTTTTATTGCTTTAAATATTTTAGCTGCAAATATTACTGATAGGCCAATAGTGGTTACTGAAGTTTCCATTTCTAATGATAGTATTGGTGTTAAAACTGCTCCTGCCCCTGCTCCTGCCTGAGTTTTTTAATCGTCAAGTAGGCCGAAATAAAATAGATAAAGCTAGATAGAGCCTAGATAAAGCCTAGAGGCTTTATTTAGCAGAAGTTATAGAAGTTGTAGGTATAGTTTACAAAATTAAGTATTATAAGAAATCAGGAGACATTTGTAATAAATTTATATGAGACGATGACGATTTTACCATTCTACAGAATTTAAATATACATTATTTCTTCTAAGGCTTGTTTCTAATAATAAAAGTTTTTTTTTTATTTTAAATAATAAAAGTTTTTTTGTTTTTTTTTAATAAAAATTTTTAGTTTAACAGGTGTTTTATTTTTTTTATATTTAGTGTATGACAGCATGCAACCTTAATCAAACTTTTAACCTGACAAAGTGTCTCATAACTTGTAAAGTATGTTGAACTTTTTGTTAAAAAATAAAGTTTTTTTATTAACTTTTTTTTAGAACTTTTTATTGATTAATTTCTCTACTTTGTGTAAAAATTTCTTTATAAAGTCTTTATGATATTTGAAAAAAAAAACTTTTATAGCAATTTTTGTAGGAGTCTTCAGAACGTTTATAAAAATATTATTATTTTTATAAATTTTTTTTCAAAAGTACATAAAAATTAAAGGAATTTTTTCCTCATTAAATTCTACTTTAGAATTATAATTTGTGTGAACTTGGTTGTTTATTGTACAGTCATATTAAAAAAAAATGACACTGGTAAATATAAAAAGTTTGATATTATTTTTACTTAGTTTTAGCAATTTTTAATGTAACTGTAATAATAATAACAATGTATAATGCAGGTTGTTGACCAATGGTTTATAATCGAAATTTAATATGGCTGGCGGTAAAGGTAAAGAGAAGTTTAAAGGAACAAACATTAGGTATTTACTTTTAAGTGAAGTGTAAAATTATATATTTTTTAAAAATCACAGTTCGTTTTTTTAATGTTTTTTTATTTTTAACTTTTTGATGTATTTGATGCAAATTACTCAAGCAATACCTTTTTTTATAGAGAGCGTTTTGTCAATTAAAGTTACCGAAATATGAAAAGGAAAATAATGACTTTATTAAAATACGCACTTGACAGATCAAATGGTGGTGGTCGGCGCGTAAAAGGCAATTCACCCGATGTATAACATTCATACTTTTTCCTATTTGTTCTGGAACTATTGATAATAGTTATTATTGATAAATTGATAAATATATTACTGATAAAAAAAAACTTTTTTTTTCAAACATTTTACTTTATTTGCATTGTATATAAAGTCCGTTGAAGCAATTTAGTTGTATTTGATTAATTTACGTGAAATATAATATTCTCTGCGCAAATTATTGCTTTTTTATTGTATTATTTTATTGCAATAAAAGTTGAGATAATTTTTTAGTTAATTGGATTTAACCAAAATAAAAAACAAAAATCAACGTTGAATTTACGTTGTTTCAACGTTGTTCTAACGTCTTATCAACTACGTATCAATTGAATATATCACCTATTCAAAGTTGAAATATGGTTGATATATAGTCGATAAGACGTTAGATCAACGTTGAAACGACGTAATCATCGACGTTGTTTCAACGTCGTAGTTTTCGACGTCGGATTTTATTTCCAATTCAACCAAATTTCAACGTTGTTTCAACGTGGTATATGGTCGGTTTGCGACGTTGCTTCAACGTTATTTCAACGTCATTGTGCCTGCTGGGATAATTATGCATATATAATGTCTCTAAAACAAGGTGTTAATAACAATTAAGATTTCAAGTCATAAGCCGAAAGTTTAACTTTCTAAAGCTAGAAAAATAGAACAAAAATATATATACATTCATGTATATATATATTTTTGTTATTTGTTGAAATCAGTTATTTAACATTAGAATCATTGTTCTTACTATTTTTGAGCTCATCAATAATGTTTTTAACTTGGGATTGTGTCATTCGGCGACCTCAGGAAGTCAAAATGTAACTGGTTTTCAAAGTAAAAATAAAAGCAAAGTTTATAAAACCATGTGAAGTTGTTTTTATTCAAAAACGCCAAATAGCATACTTTGAAAAAAAGGTGAAAGTCAAAAAAGTTAAAAGTTAAAATTAGTTGACTAAGAAAAAATGAATATTCGATTTAATCTACTATCTATGGATTTCCTTCTAATCAACTTTTTACTAATAGGTTAAAGTTGATTGAGTCGAGTGAAAATCATAGAATCCTTTTGTCTTTTCATACGATTTAACTTTTCAATTTTTTATTTATGTTTGTTCGTTTAAAAACAAAAGCATGTTTTCGTTTAAAAACAAAAGCTTTTTAAATAAAAAAATAATCAAAGATATAGATATTATCTTAAATAAACACTTAACATTATGGTGTATTTAAATATCAATACTAAATACAATTTAATAAGATTATAAAAATTTCAAATTGCAAAAAACTTAAATGATTGATTTCTCTTAACAGGGATTTTTGAGTTAATATTTTTGTTAAAATGAAAACAAAAACCTTAAACTTAAAAAAGAAAATAAATCTTAACCTAAAAAAAATAAACAAAAGTAAAAAAGTAAGCTATAAAACGATTCAAACATCACACAGTGCAAGAGTGGTTATTGTCAATTGTCCTAAAGTGATGAAAACTCTGACACAGTCTCCTTATATTAATATTATTGAAAATTTATGGCATAAGCTTAAAAATTGGTAATCATAATAAAAAAAGGTTTAAAACATGCATTGCTGGAAATGTGTAATAAAATAACCCCAGAATTTAGAAACAAATTGGTGGAATCAATTCCTAATAGGCTAGAATTAGTAATTAAGTCGAAAGGAAATCCTACCCGTTATTGATTTTATTTATGATTTTTTGTATTTTTTTGATTGCATCATTTTCACTGTGATGCGGTTTTTGTTTAGTTTAAGTTTGTTTAATAAAAATTAATATAATTGTTTGTAAATTTATTTAGTTTTATTTTATTTAGTTTTATTTAATTTTACATTATTAATATTAAAAGATATGCTCTTAAATATGTAGTTTATTTTCAGAAAGGTTATATTTAAATAAGAAAACACGTTTTATACTACCGTGCATCTTTTTTACTGTGAGTCACTGGATATATATACACTCTAAAAACAGTCCGTTAAAAAAAGTAACGGATTGCGCTTTTTTGTCAAATTAACGGATTAATTCGTTACCAAAAAACAAAAAATTAACGGACTATTTACGGATTCTTTGTAATTTCGGTGTGTTTATGTTATTTTAGAATTTTTTGTTTTAGACACATGGCATTTGTTATCCTGCTGTAAGTTAAAACTAGTTGTAAAATTAAAAAACTTATATTGGAACTTCTTTTTCTTTTAACATTCATGTTTATTTATTTATACTATCTTAGAATTTGCTGCTTTAGAGGCACGGCATTTAGTGTCACATTTTAGGTTTAAATTGGCTGTAGAATTTATATTGTAACTTGCATATTTATTTAGTTGAGTTTAATCTAAGTTTATATCTGATATGTTTGTATTATTTTAGAATTTACTGTTTTAGACACGTGGCATGTGGTATCCCACTGTAAGTTTGAATTAGTATGTTTAAAAAAAATTATATTTTAACTTGCATTTCTTTTGACGTTCATGTTTATGTAATTAGATTACAACTAAGTTAGTGTATGATTTGTTTATATTATTTCAGAATTCGCTATTTTAGACACTTGGTATAAGCTGTCATTCTGAAAGTTTAAATTGGTTGTAAAATTTATATTGTAACTTGCATTTTTATTGGCGTGCATATTTATTTAGTTGAGTTTCAACTATTATTAATAATAATAATAATAATAATATTGATAATAAGTTTATATCTGGCGTGTTTATATTATTTTAAAATGTACTGTTTTAGACACGTGGCATGTGATATCCCACTGTAAGTTTGAATTAGTAAACTTAAAGAAATTGTATTTTAACTTGCATTTCTTTTGGCATGCATATTTTTTTAGTTTGGTTAAGACTAACTTTATATCACACTTTTTTAACTATTATTCTACTATATTTTATATTTACTATTATTTTAGAATTAGCTATTTTAAACATGTGACAAGTGGTATGAGACTGTAAGTTTAAATAAGTTGTAAAATTAATTTTTTTATATATTTGCATATTTAATCTTGTTTTGATTTATCATAGTTTTTAAAAGGTTAGAGACTTTATTTTTTGCTCCTTATAGGTATTGATGTATGTGAAATGTATAGAGTCTTTCAGTTATCAGATAATGTCAAGGTAATCTTATACTTTTTTTTCAATTTACATTTTAATAAAGATATAATTTACTTGTTCCATTTAACTTTATCTTTAAAAAACGATATCAGAGATAATTAAAATAACAAAATTTAGAATAGAAATTTATATATAATGAATTATCAAAAACATTTTCTATAGTGCTATCAGTAACATTTTATTTTGGTTTTATACTAGGTATGTTATTAAGTTTCCATATTTTCCTTATTTTATTTTAAATTAATCTTTAAAGAGTTGACAGCATGGTGTCCAATTAAAGTGCAAACCTGTGTACGAGTAGCAACAGTATTCAAAACCAAAATCTATTTAAACCAACCAAACCAAAACTAGTAACCTAAAATCTTGGCATTGGTTTATTTTAAACATCTAATATATATATATATATATATATATATGTGTGTTTTTTTATATAAATGTACTAGCTTGAGTATAGTGTATTAAAAAAATGTTTTAAAGTATTTTCATTGTAATTTAAAGTATATTGGATTAAATATTATAAATATTTGATTAGTTTTTAATTTTTGGTTAAAACGTTTTAATGTAGAATATCGAAATAAAATAATGCAATTAAATAAAAATGCAAACATTAAAAATATAAGGATTATTTGGTTATGAAGTCACAATTCTGGCCTCTCTAATTTTAGATTTTAGTGATTTTAACGAAATAATCACTAAAATAACTTATTAACGCATTTATTTCATTGGAATAATAACCGCGGAAATTTTGCTGCCTTGTGTAATAACTCCTTAATTTTGACGGATTATTCATTGCACTAACGAAATAAATCCGTAAATTCAACGTACTATTCCTAACGGACTTCAATTCGTTAAAATTTTAATTCGTCAACTTAACGGATTTCCCGTTAGTGCAATAGCGACAGATACAATTCGTTGTATATAACAGATTTTTTCTTAGAGTGTATATATATATATATATATATATATATATATATATATATATATATATATATATATATATATATATATATATATATATATATATATATATATATATATATATATATATGTATATATATATATATATATATATATATATATATATATATATATATATATATATATATATATATATATATATATAAAATAAACACACATCAATCAAATTTTAATTGTTAATGCAATATCTAATTTTTCTCTTCCTTTTTAGGGTTTTTGATCATAGCTACCTCAACTGTTCCTGTTAGCAATCATTTAAATAGTTAAACTTTATAATATGATGTTTAACTTTTGAATCATAAACTAATAGTTTAAAACTAAAAGGTTGTTTGGGATTTACAACAAGCAAAAGCAATTTAATGGTAAGTTTTCATTTAATATTATTCAAGTTTTTGTTATTATTTTAATAAATAATTATTTTTCTCCATAAATTATTCATCTGTGTTTTTTTAATATTTTTTAAACATTTTATCAATTGAAGACCCC